TAGTAGCGATGCCCTTTGTTACTAGTAGCTTCTTGTTCCTAGTAGTACCGCCAGGAGCGTCCTAGTAGCGATGCCCTTTGCTCCTAGTAGCTTCTTGTTCCATGGCAAAGCATCTCATTGTCTTCCTCTTTTTCGTGTAACACCGTTCAGATGGTGGGTGGGCCCCAGATTAAATATCCAAAAGGCGTGGCCGATTTATTAGTGGATCAATGAACATCAACAACTGCGAAGAATATGTTGAACGTTTTTCAGATATGTTTACTGAGGATCCTGCCCCGGACCACAAGGAGTTGGTCCATAGTGGAGGAGCAGGGGCTGCATCTGGAAGTTCACAGGCAGGTTGCCTGCACAAGAAGTATTCAGAAGTTGAGAGATCTCCAAAGAGGTCACCCAGAGAAGCACCATCGATCTCCATTATGACCACTAATGCGATTGACAAGACAAGCTGCTTGCGGCTGGCTAAGCTTGCCTAAATGTTGTCTCAAAATAAGTCACATCAAGTCCCTAATGTCCGCAGGAGGACCAACAAAAGGCTTTCAGAAAACACTCACACAAAAGAACTCCACACGCTTGTCCCAATGGTAATGTGGTTGCAAAATGCTGAAAAATACTGCTTTGCCGGCCAGCTTGCTATCACGCCTACGGAGTCAGTCCCCAAGAAGATGTGTCGGTGGATCGTGGACTGATTGAAGTACCTGCAAGGGTCAGATTTGAACAACGCACAAATTGTGCACACACGTTTATGCGAGCCCTCGCCCTGATCTAGGTCAAACACAAAGTGGTCTGTCTACAAGACGTATCTCTGCTGCGCACGTCAGCAGAGGAAGCAAATGGGACAAAGGATCTTGGTCACCGCATCGAACCTGGGCCATGTGCTTCAATGACGCTCAGCACTCGGTGGGCATTCTCGGCCGTCTTAAGATCTTTGTCTTTGCTCCAGCGCTTGGTTGAAGTCCCACCATCAACCCCATGGTCAATATTCCGTGGGCTAAGAAAATATATGTCCTTTATTCCAACGAACTAAAGTACTTTTTACTACGGCCCAGCATTGACGCACTGCCAGCTGGAATTTTTCCGTGGGCAAACGGTCCACTCTTCCACAAGGCCTGCGCAGGGAGATTTGACGACAATCAGTGTGCCCCAATAAGTGTCTCAAAACTCTAGATGTTCTACACAGTGGAATCACACCCCATCAAAAACGAACACGTAAAGTGACTAATTTCAGTGCATAGAAATGTATAGAAAACAAATGAAAACAATAATAGAGCCCTAGATACCATGGAGGAAAAGTTGTTGGGCAAATCTATGTCAGACCTACGAAAACGACAAGCTGACCTTTGTGCGGAAGGTTCCGTCGAAACCTTGCATGCTTGCCTGCACAAGCTTTCAAAAAAAAAACACTTGCATGCTGGCACCAAAACCAATAGCTCAAAGGGGCCCGAAAATCACTGTGTTCGCTAAGTACATGAAATGAAAAATGCGTGCGGGCACACCAACAGAACGACTGTTCATATCGAGCATCAGCCTCTCAAAAGGCTTGAAAAGCCTTCTCAATGGCAGCTCCGCTGCCAACTGGAAATGCACCAAGCAGCCTCAATGTTGCGCTGTTTTTAGCGGCAGGATTGAATGTATTTTTAATGTGTCTATGGATTCGAATGCTTAATATGTTTACAGCTCTTCAAAGAGAACCGAGGATGCAAAAGGAGGAGTGGCACCTCACAGTTCACGTATTTTTGTGCTAGCACTAATTAGAAATTCACGAGCCATGTGCCGCCAAGCTGCTCCACGGTCTTTGGGCCAGCTGAAAAGTCTAAGCCCTTGAGAAGACCTGTGACGAGCTGCTCCACCTGTCCGAAGTGGAAGCCCCAGCGAAAGCACTGCTTCGATATTGAAAAAAACATGCCCCAAAAAGGTGTATCTATCTATAAATATGTCTAGGTACAACATGGTACAACTACTGTATTCTCACCTTGACCATGAATGCTTTGTGGGGAATGAATAAGGAACATCATTCAGAAAAGGAAAGTTGGCGCCTGAACTCCATCGATGCAGACCTCATTGCATTGGCACACAGCAGAAAAGCAGTCTTGAGTCTATATCTACCAGAATCTGTCTGTCAGTTGACAAGATATCAGTAATTATTCTTGGAGCCTCTTTGACATCTAGAGCCGATGACTGATGGTCTTTCAGAGTCTTTGCAGAGTCTTTGCAGAGTCTTTGTAGTCGTTTCTCATCACTTCTCCGCTGAGGACCAGGACCAAGGCCACCTTCCCCTCCAAGTCTTGTAGCTCACCGGCCGCAGCCAAACCCACCTATTTGTCACTCGTCGCCGCTTGTTGAGGTGCAGTTGCAAGCTGACTTGGAAACTCATGTTGGGCACCACACACGTGTACGAGTAATGTGAGCTTGGTCAATCCCCGCCTTGGTCCAGTCCTCCATGGCCCCGACGCCGACCAAGATCACATTCTGAATACCTCACGCAATGCAAATCGGCAACTCTCCACGCTGGGAGTTTTGTCAAAGCTTGACTGAAGACATGCACTCCCGTGCACTGCCTGTCTCGGAAGCTTTGTAGACTCTAACCTCAACCGTCCCAACTGGCGAATCTTTGAGGAGCCCATCTTTTCTCTTCGCCTGCACCCCCCCTTGGCACCTGACCGAGCCAAGCGACGCATCAAAGCCTGCATGCTTGAAAAATTATAACAAAGACTTGAAAGGAAAATGCGGGTACTTTGGGTGTCCGTACCTGGCCCCACTCGTAAAGAGGAAAATGAACACAACAACTTGAAACTCAGTTAGGATAAAATATAGCCACATAAATTAGGTTCCATGTTTGTTCATGTCTACTGAACTGAGATGCTTCGACTTCATCAATGTCTCCTTCAAGAGTCCAATTGCGGTAGCAACAACCCGGGGATTACCTCAGAGCCACGAGTCCAGAAATCAAATGACCGCCTTGCCCATACCCTTGCCCTGGGAATATAAGAATCATTGCCTGTGTCAGCCACCAACTTTGCTAGGGCACCATTGAAGGTCCTAAGCTGAACTGCAGATGGACAGTCAAGAGAAGCAACTGTAGACAAGCTAAATCATGGTGTGAGCGTTGGTGTCAATCTGATTCAGGGCCAACTACAAGCGGAAATGAGTCTACATATTATAAATGTCATTCCTAACATATGTAGCATGTAGGTAATGCTGGAAACCTGAGACCGCAAATGCAGCTGAAGGGCTGCTTGTCCAAAAATGAGCCGATCCGTCCTAGGGATGGAGCACCCTTGTCCGTCTTGGCAAAGATGACCATTCCCGCACCATCCTGGGAGCAACCCAAGTTTCTGCTGGCTCCGAAGTCTGCAAACACTGGATTCGCACGCTGTGGATCGAAACCACCAGACTTCCAGCACAACTTGGGTGGAGTATCTTTCACTGAGGGTAGGTTTTCCTAAGAGCGGAATGCAGGACGACATAGACTACATGCAACGAGATCTTACCTCCACAAATGCACGAAACAAAGCCTCTGAAGGGCTGTCAGTGCAATGGTGACCTGATTTCGTAGAAATGCCACCACTACCAAGTTCAACCAAGAGCTGCAAAAGCCAAGGCACCCAAAAGTCTGGCCGTACAGGGTCAGTTCTCACCTGAGCCAGAGCAAAAGTCAAGTCAAATGAGCCTTCCCCGTCTATATAATTGACCTTGATGATAGCGGTAGGTACGCCACTAGATAGGTTGCCAGGGTCCAGGAGTCCAGGGTCCATTTATCTTGCGAACACCTGAAGATTTCAGATTCATGGCAGGCCTCTGGCAGAGCATGCCGCTGCAAACATGTTCCCCTCCGCTGCTGGCTTGCCCAGCCTTTTGCATGAGAAGATTGACCGAGAGAAAGTACATATTGAATCATATTGAAAGCTTTTGTGCACCTGAAATGATCCACATCCTGAATTCCAAAGCCTGCTATCTACAAAGCACCATCCTCCTATATACAACGTGATGCATGACGAGACATGTGGCCAAGTCAACGTCAAGTTGTTTACTTGAAGAGATCCGAATATGCCTGTACTTCTGGACCTGAAGGTTCCATGACACATTGCCAACGGTTTGAAACGTGCCTCAAGCCATTGGTTTCAGTTGGTTTCATCATGTTTCATCAACGTCCAGAGAACGGTCCGCCAGCCTGCAAGGATGGCAAGGAGAGGCTTTGCGACACCGCTGGTCGCTGGGGCCTGTTCGTCTCCTAATCCTGCTAAACCCCAAAGAGATGCTTTAATTAGTGGCCTGTGTTGGACCAAAACGGAAACCATCTTAAAACCAAACATGTTCATCTATGTGTATCTCCTCTCCAATAGCTGCTGACCTGAGTCAAACCTGAGATGAAGCCGTACCTTCCTTTTTGTCATCTCTTTCTTCTTGTTTTCAACGCTCTGGATACAAGCATGCATGTCAGCAGTGTCAGGCGCAACCAATTTGGCCTCGATCCGCAAGGGGGTTCTCCTGGGCACAGCACCTGGACCTCTGGGACCGGCCTCAACACGAACGTGCAACCTGTTTTCTCATGGTATAGACATATGCATATTTATATAAATATAGTATATATATGATATATGTGTGGACGAAAGAACCAAAGATTGAGCAGCATGAAGAAGAGTGTTTCAACATGCGCGTAAACTGTTTCCGACTCACAGTTTGTGTGCCAAGTGCAATCTTCAAGCTTGATGTTTGCTGATGATTTCAACAAAAGCATGGATAGTTGATGACCTTTGCAACCAAAGCCTGGAACATGTGACATTGCCGATGGATTTTGGCTCAAAATGTGTGCATTTTGCGCGTAAAAAGGGCGCGTTTGCTTTGTGCTGAACGCGCAAAATTGAGAAGTGAATCCAAAGAAGGGCACAGCACAGATCAAGAAGCGTCCAAAAAACAATTTGAGAGATCCAACTTGATTTGCTTTGAAAACGATTTGATTTTAAGTAGTCTGCGAAAATGAGAGCAAGTGAGAACCGGACATAGCAAAAAGGCACTCTCACAAGTCGAGAATGCCTTTGGAACAGCCAAGTGACTATCCGAAAGCGGTGCAAAAACACAACACTCTCTGCTCCAACTCACTTCTCTCCCGTTCCAAACAAACCAGAATCACATAAGCTCGCTGGAGCAATCATTTGTTCAACTTGCAGTGTGTGTGTGTGTGACACCCTTGGAGTCACAGGGGTTCCGTTGAATTTGTTCTCACTTTCTGCCGTGCTTTGGTCTTAACATCTACTTTGGTAGACTCTTTATCGCAGGGGGCACAGGCCCATCGTGGATACCTGTGCCAACGAAGCTGTTCCATGATGGGGGAGCGGAGATTGATCACCTCCGTGTACCTGCATTGAACACATCGACTCCAATGGGCTTCCCTCACTTAGGCTGTGTCTAGGTTCTTCAGGCGCTGGAAAGTGCTAGTGCTAGTGAGTTCTCCAGATGTGCACGTTCGTCGTCAACCTGTCGTTTGGCTTTCATCGATTATGAACTTTGAGATTTGGGCCTCTCTCTTTCCTTGGTTGGACCTCCAGCCCTCCAGGATACTCAGACCCCCTTACATTACTTTCTCAGGATGATGGTTACCTAGGTTGCCTAGGTTGGCGTGTGGCAAGTCGCAATCGTGTCAGCACGCTATTTCTTGAGTGTGTGTGTGTGTGTGTGTCAATCCCCGTTCCGAGGGGCACTGTCCTTCACTATTCTATTCTAGTCCATGCCACTGTTTTCCTGTACAGACGTCCAACGAAGAGGCTGTTACGAGTCACTGATATGGATTCTGGACGCAGAATCCACGTACCTGCTTGAACTGTTTAATCAATTCGATTCATTTCAAGCTTGTTGAAACATTCTGTTCGCGTTCTTGCGGTTCTTTCAAGTCAAGGGCTAAGTATTCATTGGCTAACGCAGTAACATAAAGTGCTAATGCTCACCGCGCATCTCTGAGGCGCAGCTCTGTCGAGCACTCATCTTAAGTGTGTGCACCGTACAAAAGATCGCTGCTAGGTTGGAGGCCATCATTTGTATCAGTCCTAGGGGCACGACATGGGAAAGGACGAAGGTTGCAGCTTGTGCTGGGCTTCAGTGATGAATGTCCCACGAAGTTGCCGTGAACAAGGCAATTGCAATTTAATACAATAACTGCTCTCTTGCCCACAAGCAAGGAGAATGAACTGGCCTGGCCTCTACAGTATTGAACAGAATAATGCTTGAAATGCTTCTAACGAGTTGCGTCCTACCTTTTGATGAACGTGTGTGTTCTGCTGAACCACCATACCGTGGGCTAGCAATAAGGAATCTGCAGGGTCTGTACAACAGATCGACCATTATTGAAAAACTCAGCATGAAAATGACAATCACTGATTGCTTGGGCTGCTACCAAAGGCACTCTCACATTGATTCCCAAAGCAAGTGCCTAGCAAAAGCCACGCCGTTTGTTGGGTCATCCAACTACAAGCACTAACAAGAAGCTACTAGGGGCTCCTGGCCTTACTACTAGGACCAAGGACGCTACTAGGAGCAAGAACGCTACTAGTAGCTCCTGGCCGTACTATATCACGTTTTACATGACAAAACAGAGTCTCAGCAGTTGACCATCTGCTGCTCAGCGCACACCAATTGGTTTTGGGCCAAAAGCTGCAACTTACTGAGCAAACAGCAAAACCGAAGCAATGCCAGGGTGTCAACATCTGTCAAGCTACCCAGCCAATGCTTCAAAATGAGCAACAGGCCAAGTAGGTTTCTGAGACACCCCGACCCAGGTCTTGGGAGCTCCAATAAAGCACCTTGGCCGAACATCCAGGAGTCGGATGACGGGCACCATCAATCATGTTGCGGATTTGCTTCATTCACCAAGCGCCAAACCAGGTTGATGACAAAAAGGGCACAATAAAATATGAGGCCTCACAGCGATGCAAATTCTTAAGATATCTATATATATATACAAAGGAAACCAATGTTTTTTAGGTTGGCCCCTATCGGTTTTGAGTTTTTTGGAATGCAGGCAGTAAAGTACGGTTAATATCGTTTAATCAAGAAAGGGTATCGGTATAGGGTTGGCCCCTGGCTGTTGCAAGGCCCTCACTTAAGGCGGCTCATGACTAAAGTACATGTACGGAAGTTTTGTCAGTTGCTCATATAATATGCCGTCACAGCGCCAACAACGAAGAACCCTCATGGTGCATTGACCTCATCGGATCTTGCTGTGTGGGGCGCCTTGGGCCAACGCTCGGATGCCTCACAATGAGAAGCCCGGGTCCAGCCTTGTTTGGATCGTCCACGATGACTTCATCTGGCCCTGAGAGGAGCTTTGCCAAGAAAGTAGCCTGGCAAGTCTTGAAACTCGTCGCCCTTGAACACGTATACAAATAACAGCATTAAATTGCTTGCAGGCTTGCTGGCCGTTACCCTAAGAGTATTGAAATTGGCGACAAGCAAGGTTTTGTGGTTCGCGCTCTGCAAACCGCTGCAAACCTCTGCCTGGCCTCTGCGGCATAAGGGCGATAGCCACTGAAAGCACCACCCCTCAAAACACGTTTCATTGAATTGTTGCCCCCGTTTGGTTCGAAAGGAGAATCCTTTTTGAGGGTGGCCATGCGGTTGCGGCTGCGCCGGACTGAGACTCCGATCCTGGGCCTCCGAGCTCTCGCATTTCCACGCACGGTGACACTCCAAAGTCACAGATCGCAGGAGTCCGAGCTGCCTGGACAGATCAGGTCTGGCAGATGCTAACCGACTTCACGGGATCAACTAACAAGGCAAAGTTGGTTGTAATGTTTGTTTTACGTTGTGCAAGCACTCAAATCAGCTGTGCTAGAGTACAGCTCTTAGAACAAACTCTTCTGCCAAGGCCTCTCAAATGACTCAGAAAGATCGGATCTCTATGCGGCCCAAAGTGATTGAATCTCTGCCTCCCGAATGCGTCCATGCAACTGCGAAAGTGCTTCTCGATGCGCACTTACCGGCAGGTCATAGATCTGTCAATGAGTCAAATGCAAGACACTTTCACCAATGCGTGTTAATTCATAGAAGAATAACACTGTCATAAACAACCATCATAGAGACACCCAATCACCAAATGCCTTGAGATGTTGAATGTGTGCAATTCAAGTGTTTTTCGAAACAAATAGTAGGACATTGGTATTAAAATATTCAAGGGAAACCCGGTAACCTGCAGCCTTGAGTTTATCTGGTGAGTAGCATGCATCTCATGTGTCCTGCAAGCCCACCGATGCAAACAGTCAAAAAAAGGGTGAACTAACTTACTGTACCAAAAACACGATGCCAGGAAGACATTGAACGAAAGCTTCATGGACTCAGACTCTGGGCACGTTCCTTGCAATGTATAATCAGTACTTTGACCTAGCCCAGTGCAACAAACAAAAGCCCATGAAGAATGAGGCTGCGCACATAGAAGCGCAGCCAACTTCGAGGGCCCTTGAAGTCATCCGCGTGAGCCTGTGGGAGGCCAGCTTGGTAACCTTCGCTCTCGACTCTGAAGCCCAATTAAAGAAAGGTTTCTTGAAGGTTCACCGAGGCAAGTCATCGATGATAAGGGTAGACTCTAGTGTTGCCTGATGTTGAAAACAACACACGGCAATATTCTTCCACGGTCATCAATAGTATAGACCCAGACAAACAAGCCGCGCTCACCCGCCTTCGTATGCACACCCAGGGGGCCGCGAGCTCCGATCTGCAGTTAGGATGGTGATTGACAAGTCCAGCGACGTGGCAAAGCGTGTCCGCGAGTGATTCTACGCTTGGTTGCGTTGGTTATGCTGTTTACGCTGGTCACGCTGGTTACTACGCTGCATACGCTGGTTACACTGTTTACCCTGTTTACGCTGGTTACGCTGTATATGCTGGTTACGCTGTTTACGCTGGTTACTACGCTGTTAACTCTGATATAGCTGTTTAATTACACTGTTTACGCTAGTTACGCTGTTTACCCTGTTTACGCTGTATATGCTTGTTCATTGATTATCCTGTTTACGCTGGCTGTTTATACGCTGTTTATGCTGTTTATGCTGGTTACGCTGTTACGCTGTTTACGCTGTTTACACCAAGTACGCTGGTCAGGGTTTCAACGGTGTAAACTGTGTAGCGGTGTAGACGGTGTAAACGGTGTCAACGACTTAGACGGGTGGACAGTGTAATAGCGGTGTAAGCGGTGTAAACGGTGTACAGTAGACGGTGTAAACGGTGTACAAAAAGTTTGTGGACACTAATTATGCCAACAATGGACAGAGCAGTCTCTACTGCAAAGTATCATGGTCTCAGATGTCTGAGTATAGAGCACTCTGGGCGAGTTAAGGATGAAGATTGTGTAGATTCATGAGATTGAAGGGAAACAGTGGCATCATTGCATCCAATGTGCAAAATCAGGAGAATGGCCAAGGTTTGAGTGTGTTCAGCTGATCTGATGGCCTCCAACAGTCTTACTGCGTTGGCCAGTTTAGTTGACATTGTGGATGACTCCCATCTTCTAGACTGCAAATGGCGAATGAATCAATGAGAAAACCTCACTTTCCACTCATTTGAGGAAAGCCACCCTCCACGTCCGCCCCAAGTCACCGAAGATTGTCTCCTGGGCACAGAGGTTTGGTGGGTTTGTGAAGGACTTGGAGGCTCTCGCCAAGGCTCTCTGCGATGTCTGGAAATGTCTTGGATCGGAGTATGAGCCACAATCGAAACGCTTGTGGGAGAAATGGAACCAAAAAAACTTGACTTAGCAATGCACCTACATAAAGCTGTGATAGTTTTGCGGGTTGGGCCAGCATGCTCCAACCTATGGAAGCTTGTTGAGACCCTTCAATAATGGCCAATAGAACTGAATACAAGACATTCATGGGAACGCATTGCAAACGAAGCCAGAAAATGCATTCCATGCCAAGAGCCCAACAAAATGCTGCTGCCGCACAGACATCTTCCGAAAGCCTTGGAAAAGTTCTGCGGTTTCCACCTGCCATTGTCGTAAGTAATTAGTACTTTCGAGGATCTCAACGGATTGACCTTAAGCTAATTCATGCAAATTGTTTAAAGTGAAAAACCCTGCGACCGCAAACAACTGCGGAAGCGCCTGTGCTTCGTTTCGTTTCCCCTCAGTTTAGAGCTGAGTGTTTGCGAAGGGTCCCAGGACCTGGGACTTCGCGGGCGTTCTTTGACCGGGTTCCCGGTTTGTTAAAACAAACAACAACCTACTGAGTTATGCTTGGTGGCATGCTAGTGGTATGCCTAGAGGTAGGCCTGGTATGCTTTTGCGGGTCTTGGAAGCCACCATAGAATGCAAATCTCTTTTAAGCTCTAGTTTGTGGGATTCGGATTGAATAAAGGGGCAGTCTAGTCAAGGCAATAAAGCAGTTACAGTAAACGTTGCTCCAACGAGACCTCTTGTTACTGGTGGAGCATTGCATGGGGCATGGGGTTGGTCAATACCAATACACCTGCATCTATAGGGCACCCTTTTGCACCAATTCCAGCTATGGCGGATACATGTGTAATTAGTCCTGTCAGGGCATCTCACGTGTATATGATTGTATATGTGTAAACTAACTTGGCCGCTGGCCAACGCCATTGCCGCGGTTCATAAGACTGTATCTCCCAGGAACTGGAATCTTCATCAGCGTTTATTCCCCCAAATTGGGCGGACCAAAAACTGGAGTTGCAAGTGCAATAAGTGCATTGCACGCAAGTTGGCGACCGCTACAGTAGCTGCTCGACCATATTGGTCTTGATTGAGTCCTGTTGCATGAATTAGTGGAAGATATCCGGCCTGGCCACCTTGTTCAACAGAGCTGAGGCTGCAGTTCTGTCGCCTGGTTCAGGAGAGTCAAACATTTACGTTCAACGATTGGCTTCAATCTTCAATAGGTGACATGCAAATGTCTTGTTTGGAAGGCCATATCTGTGTCTTGTGTGTTGGTGCCTGTCTCAGTGCCACAAAAAGAGATACTGTAACACACACGATGGCTGGGACTCGTCATTCCACAGTCAAAGAGATTACTTGAAAGGGTTGAAACATACGGCTGTTCCAAAGGGTATCTCTTGTTGAGAAGTTCTCTGTTTGCATTTTGGCCTACGCTGCTACAAATGAGGTAACACAAGGGCACCTGGCGCTCCTCGACGTGGAGCAGCAAAGGCCCCTGCAGCCTGAGAGCAAGGAGCTGTGAGTCTCCAGCGTTCTAGCTAGCAGTAAGGATACTTGAGCCCGAGCCCATGTTGCTTTTGCCCGGCATCGGGCAACTCAATGTCTTGCCCTACCCAGAGCTCGGAGAAAGCCCTGTTAGCAAGCTGATCATGTAGCCAAGGAGAAGGGTTAAGAATGACCTGCTCCGAATACCAAAAAGAACTGTACAAAAACAATCGCAGTTTAAAAGATGTTAATTTCCTGACACAAATACTGTCCGTTCTATCCCCCTTGACTGGGGCAACATCCTGCCAGAACTCCATCTTATAGAGAATACCGTCTATAAAATTATATGACCATCATATTTCTCTATAAAATGAAGAACCAACCTTTCTATAAAATGGGTAGCCATGTCCAGGCCCATCCACGACAAAGAGGTTAGAGGCCAAGCCTGGGATCTATAAAATGGGTTGACCTTGAGTTGATATCCTCATATCATTTGAAGCAGCTGACTTCTATAAAATGACTTTGCCACAGCAGGTTTGGTCAGCGTATGCTTCACTTTTCATGTTTTATCTCTATCCTTTTTGTTCGTCGCTCCTGCAGTCTTCTTCTTAGAACCATCCATATGTTTTTTTTGTGTTTTATTGTTGGTGTTTTTTCTTAACAAAATATAACAAAATGTTCTCCAGTCTGATTTGTCCAGGCTTGCGTCTTCGAGCCAGCGAAACAATATCACTCAAAGCAGGCAACTGTTTTGAGCATTTTGTCTAAGACATCTGTGTAAAACCATATGTTCTCTATAAAATGGATTTGCTCCTGAATGAGAGGCATTCATCTGCCGACACGTGTCTCTTTCTTAAAATGCATTGCCTCTCTCTGTCATGGTCCTTTCCACCAATCCCCCCTCTACTCTATGAAATGATGTTGCCTCCTCTTATGTCCGTTATCGGAACGGATCATTTCTATATATAAAGTGAACCTCCTTATCCCATTTCATAGTGGAAACAGATGCTCATTTTATAGAGGACCAATCATGGGGGATTCCGTTCTGTTATATAAGCACGGAAGGCCTCAAAGCTCAAAGCAGAGCGTATGCGCCTGACCAAGTTCTGCATCCCCCACCCAGAGAGAAAGTGCAGTGCCGGTGTTACGACTTGCAATGATGGTGTTCAGGAAGCATGGCGGCTCTGCTTGTCCGCTGAAGGCCCACGCCAGCGAGGAGGAGGGGTCCTCACTGGCATGGCAAGCAATAGTAACCTGGGACCTGGGTCTGCCCAAAACCGACAATCACGTGGCTCTGTGTCTCACAAGCTTCTCACTTGGCGCCACCGATCCAGAGCCAGCGGGTCCAGCGAATTACATTCTCATGAACCTGCACAAGGCCGAAACCAGCCCCTAGTAGCGTTCTTATTCCTAGTAGTAAGGCCAGGAGCCCCTAGTAGCGTTCTTGCCTATTGTGTTTCGAAACGTGCTCTTTGTTTGCTGCAAAGAAGCATTATTGTTTCTAGTTGAGGAAGAAAGAAGGGCAGGAACAAAGCATGGAAGGTCTGAAGAGTGTAAAGAAAGAACAAGCATGAAACACAACCTGTGTCTAAAAGCGTTCTTGGTTCTCCTGATGGATCGCTAATAGGGTAGCAAAGAAATCATAAGAACGCCGCAGTTTGGCAACTTCCGGAAATCCTCAGGCCTCCTCGTTTGTAAGTGGCCACGGTGAATCCTGTGCACAACAAATCAGCTGCAACATCAATTGGTGCAAATCATTGTGAATCAAACTCCAGATATATGGACATATATATATGCTGCTGTTATATACTGTACACACACCGCGTGATCCCTGCCCCTCACTCTTGAGTGCGTAATACATAAATGAAATTGAACTTTGTGTGGCTAAGAGTACAACATGAGGCCAAATTGTTGTGCAGAGCTCATGGCGAGATGTTTGGACAAAACCTGCCCCACATGGGGTTGCAAAAGCCGGCAAAGTTTTGGAATGCCAAAGTGGTGTTCCGTGTGGTACACACTCTTAAATTTTCCCAAATCACACAGCGTAGCGTGGAGGGTAGGGCATTGCAATGCGCAGCCTATTGTAACAAGCTACAATAGTCATAAGATGTCATAAGTAATGTATGCATAAATGTTGAAAGCACTAACGCTCTAAGGTGGCTCATCCCTCCGGTATCTTAGCCTCCAAACATGGCGCTGCCCGTAGGAAGACAGGGTACGCCAAAAGGGCCTCCAATCTCTGATGGAAACAGCTCGCGAACAGGCCACAACCGTGTTTGTTAATCAACATGGCACGTTGAGAATTACGACATCTACGCATCATGCACCTCCAAGTAAGGAACGCAAGCTTGCTGGCTCTCGCAGTTCTGGGGCAGAAGCTTTGGCCTTAGAAGCTTGATGCAAAGCAAAACTCTCGAAACAACACCGTTCCAGCGGTCGTTTTCTCTTCTCGTCTCCAAATCGCAGCACACCAGTGCTCTGCAAATCCTAGCATGCTGGGATGCTATGTACCAGGCAAATCTCACACTTTGGAAACCTACACATCGTGGCATTGGAGGCACTTTGGCATCCTTTCTGTCTTCACTTCTGCCACACAGCTGCAGCATAGCCACCCAGTACAACGACTACGACTGCCAAGCCATATGAAAGACGCTTGGTCAGTAGCTCGGCTGCCTGCGGCACGGTCCCATCATCTTGCAGCAAACACTGTGAAAATGAATTGATATGCAGGGTAGGGAACACCCTAGGACTGGCACATGAAGAAGTAATGGACTTGAAGCAGCATGCACTGCAAGTTTTGGCAAAGCAAGCCCTCTCCTGGTCATGTTTCCACCGTTCCAAATGTCTCAAGTCTATCCTTCGCTGTACACCAGAGTCCGTGAACTTCCATTCCTCGGTAAACCCAGGGCTCAGGGCTTGAAGCTCAACATGTTGGGTTCAGACTTATATAGTGGAAAAACAAAAGTCGGCCTGTATTGGAAATATTATTTCTGATACCGAGCTGAAAAGTCTGCTTCCTTCAGAGTATCGCCGAAAATCATGACACTGCTTCAAACCCAAGACGTTGCCAAGCCACCATATCCTCAAGATATTTCTGAACGCGGTCAGGGCTAATCTTTGCCGCTTCCAGGCTCTTTCGAATCGCTTCTGCCCTGCGATCAAGGAATGCAATACGCTTGCAAGCCAACAATTCCTCTGCACCAAGTAAAAAGCTTTCTTAAGCCTTCCAATTCACCCAGTTTCCCCGCCCCCCTTTCATTGTAAGAGCAAGATGAAATGTCGCAAGGCGTCGCAATGTCGCAAGGCCTGAAGGGCCCTGCTTCGCCACTGGCCAACCGCTGCAGCTCTCGGAACTGTGCAGCTCGAAGCGTTTGAAGTTCCAAAGCCTCTGACGAGCAGTCTTCCTGACTAGCAATGACACCCTTGTTATATAATGATCCTAAGCAAATATTTCATAATATGTCCATAGTCTTCCACAACTTGTAATGACCAGCAATAAACCACATCACGACATGGCTTTGGTGAAGCTACATTTGGCATGCTTGTCAATGTTGGGTTACCCCCAGGGACCATAGTAATGACAGCAACAAACAACCATAACAGCAGAATGTGCGGCAGGAGAGCAAGATGAACCTACGAACCCCGATAATTCGGTCTCAAGCGGGTCTCTTCTTGTACTGTATGTGTCTATTCTCTTCCTGAGCGGGTCAGCATCCCTGTCTGTCCCTTTAAATATATATATATACATATACACATGTGTTTTTGTGTAGAGTCTGAGAGGGGGCAAATACACTGACATATTCGCTGTACCTACTCGTGTGATGCATACGAATGAGATCCAAAAAGTTGGCCTTGACGAATTCATGACAGTAGGTTGGAGGTCATCCCTATTAGGTTGGAGGTCATCCCTATTGGGGTTGGAGGCCGTCGCTATTAGCTTGGAGGCCGTCGCTATTAGCTTGGAGGCCATCGGGATTAGCTTGGAGGCCGTCGCTATTAAATTGGAGGCCATCGCTATTAGGTTGGAGGCCGTCGCTATTAGGTTGGAGGCCGCCGCTATTAGGTTGGAGGCCAACGCTATTAGGTTGGAGGCCATCGCAATTAGGTTGGAGGTCATCGCTATTAGATTGGAGGCCATCGCTATTAGGTTGGAGGCCATCGCTATTGGAGGCCATCGCTAATAGCTTGGAGGCCGCCGCTATTAGGTTGGAGGCCATCGCTACTAGGTTGGAGGCCATCGCAATTAGGCCCATTAGGCTTAAGGTCATCGCTAATAGGTTGGAAGCCGTCGCTATTAGCTTGGAGCCCATCGCAATTAGGTTCGAGGCCGTCGCTTTTGGGTTGGAGGCCGTGGCTATTGGGTTGGAGGCCATCGCTATTAGCTTGGAGGCCATCGCTATTAGGTTGGAGGCCGTCGCTTTTCGGTTGGGGGTCATCGCTATTAGCTTGGAGGCCATCGCTATTAGCTTAAAGGCCGTCGCTATTAGGTTGGAGGCCATCGCTATTAGGTTGGAGGCCATCGCTAATTTAGGTTGGAGGCCATCGCTATTAGGTTGGCGGCCGTCGCTATCAGGTTGGAGGTCATGGCCATCGCTATTTGCTTGGAGGTCATCGCTATTGGGTTGGAGGCCATCGCTATTAGGTTGGAGGCCATCGCTATTAGCTTGGAGGCCATCGCTATTAGGTTGGAGGCCGTCCCTGTATGTCCCTATTAGGTTGGAGGCCATCGCTCTTAGCTTGGAGGTCATCGCTATGAGCTTGGAGGCCGTCGCTATTGGCTTGGAGGCCTTCCCTATTAGGTTGGAGGCCGTCGCTATTAGCTTGGAGGCCATCGCTATTAATGTTGTTGACCTATGATTAATAAAGGGACCCGGAATAAAGTTAGCCGATCTGCACCCTGATTAATAAAGGGAACCAAAATAAAGTTAGCATTTCTTATTTTTTTTGGTTTTTAAAAGTTAGCATGTCTTATATGTTTATTTGTTTTAAATTCTGTTGTTATATTTGGATTTGTTGTTTAATTAAATTATAGTTCTTTTTAAAAGTTCTATTTGTTCAATTCTATTTTCCTACTGTTTATTGTTCATTTTTCTTTATTTATGTTTAATTCGGTTCTTTTATTTATGTTTATTGATTATTTTTAGTTGTTTCTGCTATCATTATTGGTTTTAATTTGTTTTGTTTAGTTTTATTTTTTGAATAATATGTTGTTTAAAGTATGTTGTGTTAAACCAATTATTTATTAAAAACAACAAATATTATATGTTTAATACAGTAAACTATTTTACACACCCTAAATAAAGTTTACCCTAAATAAAGCTAATGGATTTTTCTGAAGCCACCAAACCCTAAATAAAGCTAAGGAATTTTCCTGAAGCCACCAAATCCTAAATAAAGTTTACCCTAAATAGAGCTAAAGAATTTTGTTCATTCAAATACAGTCCTCATTCAATTAATTGCAATTCAATTAGTGCAAATTCAAGTTCAATTCCAATTCAAGTCTAAATAATTTGAATTGTTCACCAAACCTCAAAACCTTGTGATACAAATTCGTATAAATCACTTATTAAAAAACACTTGAAAATTGATCAAAACCATTCTGGAAAGGGTTCTCGCAATGAAGTCAGAAAACCCTAAATAAAGCTACTTGATTTTTCTGAAGCCACCAAACCCTAAATAAAGTTTACCCTAAAGCTAACGGATTTTGCTGAAGCCAACTCAATTCAAATTCAATTCCAGTTCAATTGAATTTAAAATAAATTCCAATTCATTTCCAATTTGAATACTACTTCACCTTTATTTCAATATTTGTTTTAGTAAGGAGACATTTCATTGTATTAATCCTTTCTTGGAACCTGGGGTTAACTTTATATATGGTTTCCTAAGAATATCGAAATTTGACAGTACATTTCTTAATCAGAGGTCAACATTAGGTTGGAGGCCATCGCTATTAGGTTGGAGGCCAGGCCGTCGCTATTAGGTTGGACGCCGTCGCTATTAGGTTGGAGGCCATCGCTATTAGGTTGGAGGTCATCGCTATTAGATTGGAGGCCATGGCAATTAGGTTTGAGGCCGTCGCTATTAGGTTGTCATGGAGGCCATCGCTATTAGCTTGGAGGCCGTCGCTACTAGCTTGGAGGCCATCGCTTAGGTTGGAGGCCATCGCTGTTAGGTTGGAGGCCGTCACT